CTGGGAACACAGGAAACCAACATACCCCCACACCATCTGTTAAACCTACGGCACAATTGCCTGAAATCTCTCTGGTGTGCCAGCGGGCATAGACTGAACTAATGAATAAATGTCCTGCCAGTAATCCCCTCCTACATAGCTTACTACCCACGGTATTGATTTTGACATCAAGAGTTTGATCTCGCGTGATCCATGTATTCATGTAAGATTGCTTTATATTTGGGAGTCGTGATGATAAAATCTTTAGGGGCACAGTCGTTTGCAGTTGAACAACAATCCTCCCTTGATTAGTCATAAAATATTTCCTCTAATAAATGACAGCGGTGGTGGAACCTTATTGATTTGAACCTTTGAACACGTAGGAAGGTTTGGGGCTAAATAGGTTGGCTTGCAAATGGCCTCAATAACTTTATGAATAGTTTTTCATGATTTTGGGCACCTCAATTTGATTTCCACTTTGACAAGTTTGGAAGCAATATCACGAAGTGGTAGATGAAAGCCAAAGAAAGAATGGTTTAGATTTTAGAATCCCTGGTTTTATATCTTATATGGTACAGTAGATTACACATAAGAAGGGACAGACATGACTGTGTTTATGTCAATGGTAATGGTTTTGAGTAAAGTGGAAAAACTGGCGACCCTTTGTTCAGTGGGAGCTGTGGGTACCAGGCATGCATTTGATCTGTGGTTTGCCATCTGTTCCTTTGGTCGGGAGCCAAGACAAGAGACTAGCTTTCCACAATGGCACAGTCTTTTTAACTTGTGTTGGAGGCGGGGACGTCTTACTGAAGATTTCTGTCCTCACTTTTCATTATGCACTTCTGTTCGCGTGACTTGCGGCCATTTGGTTAACTACCACAATCTCTGCAAGCTGTACTTATGTGCACAGAAGTTGATGCTGGGTAGATAATCGAACATCACTCAAATTGAGCAGGACTTGGCTTATAAAAAAAGACTATTCTATTTTTCATTTGCGCATCAAAGAAAAGATATAGAGGTGAATAACTTAAAAGTTCATCAGCAAGCAACATTTCTTGAACTTGAAGATAATGATGATACACTGATGTTGTGTTGTCACATAACACATAAGAAGTCAGGAAACTTGCAAGTCATGTGATTACTTGGAGTTTGCCCTATCTGCCTTCCTGTATCCATGTTTGTCCCTACTGTTGAAGTGTTGACATTGAAGTTGTGCCAACTTCACCCCTCCCCATCTGTTCTGTCAATCACTGGTCCCGGTGGAGCTAAGGAAAACACAGTTGGTGGTACAGAGACCAGGCTACTGTTGGAATTTGGTCCCTCAGCTTAGTGGTAATGTCACTGTGCAGGGACAGAACAAAAATGATTGCATAGCTACAAGGGCAGGTTTTCTTCAAAGAAAAATATACAGTTTTGTACACATTTTTTTTCCATTCAGCCATATTTCCTGTCGTTTTGCTTCAAACAAGGATTGCAGAAACAAGGAGATAACCATAGCCTCATGATTTGGAAATAAAGAAAGAAAGATTGGAGTCACATTGATGCTTCAGTGTTGTAGAGTGTGACTTCCACTATGGAGAAAAAAAAAGAAGAAAATGAGACATTCCTTTGTTAATACAAGGTGTTTTGGAAGATGCACAGGTGTGTTCTAAAAACGGATCCTGCTCTTTCACCAAAAACATCCTTTGACGTAAGCCAGGTCTTTACTGAGAAACAAACCTAGAATAGGGTTTCAAAATGATCTGCTTGCCATACACTCAACAGTCTCACAGAAAAAAGGGCTGGCCACAAAATCCCATACAGTTTCACCAGTCCTGAACGTCACAACATTCCACCAGTTGTAATGGTCTTGGAAGTAAACTGTTTGGTGAAAACTTGCAGACAAAGAGGTGCGAAAGTGAGAGCTTAAGAGATCGTTCTTAAAATAGTGGCTGAACACCGTTGCTTGTTTTTGATGAGAAAAGAGCTTGTTTAGTGGTCATGCACAAGAGCATGTTTTGGAAGCTTTCTTTTCCCGCCAGGTGTGGTCTGCCAAGTTCAGTCAGTACACTGGACGCTCTTCTTTCATTTATCTCTTTCCAGTGCCACTTAATCCTTTGGATATCAGCATTTCTAGCTCTCTTTGTTTACGTCCTTTTGTACCCAGCAACGTTAGACATTACATCAGTTAGTGTTGCAAAGGGACTCTCAGGGTGGGTTCGGGGGGTTCGGAAGAACCCCCCCACAAGGCTCAAAGGTCCACTTTTTGGTCCACTTTTTATGAAAAGGTCCACTTTTTGGTCCCCTTTTTATGTAAAGGTCCAAGATTTTTCTTGAAAAGATGGACTGGAATCGTGGAAAAACTGCTCCCTTTGTCATTGAATAAAAATTTATCTCTGATTTTTTTCTTGGAAATCCTCTCAAAAATGCACGAAATGCCATTTTAGAAGGCTCATTTTTCAAAATTTTCCGGGGGAGCATGCGCCTGGACCCCCCTAGGAACCTCGCGCCTAGGGCACTCAGGTCCCCTCTAGCAGTGGGAAGAACCCCCCCATTCAAAATCCTGGCTACGGGCATGTGTCTGACATAGACAAAATAATAAAGCAGCTAGCTAGACAAAGTATTTCAAACACTGTGCGTATGTAGCTCTACATGTTTTTTAATGAGAATCACAAACTGCATGTTTAGCTGAACACGGCTAGACGATATGTGAACTACAGCAACCTGTGAGTCAGTTGGTAGACATGATGTCACTAACCTTCATCTGAATGCACCAATAATCAATAAACCAGAAAGACTGGATGATAGCATCTGTCTGGAAATGCCGAAAAACACCTTTTGCGCTGAGGTGTTTTATACAGAAGCGTTAAGCTTTAATCTACAGTGTGCATTCTTTTGTTTTGAGAACATGACTGCCAGTTTCACAGTCAAAACAGGATTTGAACCACCCACTGTAGACAGATGTGAAAGAACAATCTATAGATACGAAATGTTTTCTAAATACTAGTTTCAAACAAAGGACTTGTTTTTGTCCTACGATACCAACAAGGATATTAGCAAAGGTTATTGCATGTGCAGATTTAGAAGAAAAAACGGGTATTTCGTTACAGGTGTTAGTTACTTGTTTGTATTGCTTCAAATGTGCGGCATACTTCGCTAACTCGGTAGACCTTCCCAATAGCATTGCTGTCATTCTTAGAACAATAGCGAAGAGCTTTTGCCTATTGAAGGTACTGCAGAAGCACTGTTCCATATCTGTGATACTCCTAAAGATAGATTTCTCACACTTGTAGATCAGTAATGCAGGAAGAAAAAATTCCGCGGAGATTTAATGAGTTTGCTTTGGAGGTTTAATGGTATTTTCCCAGGTACATTTGTACACGGGGTGCGGAAGTGGGGTCCAGTGTACACTGTTGACATTACACATACTTGTAACATACTGTACAAACATGCCAGCACTCAAGGTGTATCTTCCCTCTCTTCGATGGAGATGTGGTTTCGTTTGGAATTCTCGTGTTTGCCTTCTTTACGCTGTTTGCCGTGCCATTTTTAGGGAGTACCTTTTCTGTCCTCCGTCACCTTGAATACTTCCTGTTAAACAACGGAATTCGGCGCGGACGTCAGCCGAGTTTGGCGACCAAATTCTTTTCTGCGAAGATCATCGATACTCCAACCGGTTTAAAAGCGGTATAATTGGGCTGCACAGAACCGGTGGCCGTAATTAGCCGTCCTAAAGCAATTATGCCCACAAATGGAGTGTAATTGATGGCTGAGGAGAAGCCAGGTGTTATATCACTGCACCTAACAGTCCTACGTGCAGGTCAGGCAAAGGGGGAAGCTTTTTCGATCCTAAAGAAAATACTGGACAAACAGAAATATATCTAATTGTAATGAATGTTTGCATATATTCTCATAGGAATATTAGGTGCAAACTGCACAAAAAACAAATCGTTGAACTAGCACTGGGTTCTTTATTTTGCAGACTTCACTGAGAACTAACTTTCTATCTAAGTAGCTTTGAAGAGTTGTGATGGTATTTCTGTTTGGGTAAGTTGCAATTATGGTCCCAAATGATATACTGGAGTTTGACTTTTCTCTCAAGCAATAAAAATCTCATGGACAGGAAACCACATCATAAACATGTTTTGCAAATGGCTTTAAGTGTTAAGATATTGTGGAAAGTAGCATTAAAGACACATCAAAATAATGTTAAAGCACTGTTGCAGCCGTAAACGACAGTCGTTAAGTCGTGAGAACATATAGGAGTGTCTTTGTGAGCCGTTGAGTCCAGTTAGTTTACGGAATGTTAGTAATGACAGGCTATGATACAGTAGGTGGAGTTTTGACACAAAGTGTCACCAGACAATACCCGGATTTGTTGGACTAAGTACTACCTTGGAATACTGTTCTTTACGGAGTGGTCAGCCGGGTTTTGAAGGATGACCTGTATGAGGAAGAATGTGGGTAATAACGGGTTAGGAGTGGTGGTAGGTAGTGGTTATCGCGGGTTTGCACAAATGAGTGGTTTATGGATGCTGGCAGCTGGCCTATGGAAGAAATCCTGTGCACTTTTCACTTCTTCCTTATTACCTATCATAGAGACTACCTACTTAATAATAAACCAGAATTAGGAAGCAGTGAAGACTAATTTTAGCATGATGGCACCAGTACTACAGATGTATGTGTGCTCAATGTCATAAAAGCTTCAAGTGAGAACAATGAATTTAGGTATATTTCTCAAACTACATACAGCTATACTGCACTGCAGGCCCTCCATTTAGGATATGATATGTTTTCAAGGGCATTTATCTATTAACATTGGATTCGTATGTTGTAGTTGTTGATTAGTTTACTTCTGGTCAACAGGTGGTGTGTTACGCCAAAGGGCGGTTATACCGGCTATACTGATACAGATACAGATACAGAGCAGATTGAAGAAATGACAGTCCAATTTTATGAACCTACGGACTCACCCTTTCCTTGAACTGTATTTTGTTGTTGTCAAGATTTTTTGCTGACCTGTCATCACTATGTTTCCACAGGTGGTGACCCCCAGACGAGTAGGACAGGTGTACCACTACGAGTCACCGACCAAACTGGAGCAGGAGACGTACGACACCCCGCCACAGCGCAGCCAGCAGGCCGCGCTACACGGCAGGCAGCACTCCGGCGGCCCGCAGGAGTTCTACGACACCCTGCCCAAGAGAGACGACGGGCCCAGGAAGCAGAGGCCAGACATCTACGACAGCCCCTCCAAGATGTCCAAGCCGCCGTCAGAGACCTATGACTCGCCGCGATCCAACAGATCCAGCATGGAGATCCTTGACACGTACGACACGCCAAAGTCTAACCGATCCAGCATGGAGATCCTAGATGTTTATGACATTCCCAAGTCCGACAAGCTGGCGTTCGAGCCGGCTGAAGTGTACGACGTTCCTAAGTCCACGCTGGGCGGTAGTGAACTCGGAATGACTTACGACACTCCGCCTCGGCTGAAGCGCACCCAGCGACTCCCGAGCGACCTGGAATACGACGTACCTGACTCTCCGAAGAAGAAATCTATGGATCCAGAAGAGGTGTACGACAAGCCGCCTCCCCCTAAAGAGGCGTATCCACAAGATGTTTACGATATTCCAATGAACAACGCCCCTGCTGAGATTTATGATGTACCCAGTAAGGACGCTGGGATCAAAGTCATGGCTGTTCCTCCGCAAAAGGCGGGACACACCGAGGATGACTATGACGACTACGTGTACGACGTTCCGCCACAGGTGTCGCGAGATCAGCCAAATGGCACGACATTCACGAGCTCCCGGCGCTCACTGGACGAAGTCGACAGCGGTTTCAATAGGCTATCGGTGTCCACAACGTCATCAACGTCATCAGAGTCTCTCACCATGATACCTCCTGGGAAGGAACTGAACCTTGACCTGCACGCTGCCATGGACCTGTTGGGAAAACTGCAGAGCGAAGTCGACTATGCGGTGTCACGGTTGCTGAGCTTCGTCAACAAGGACTGGCGCAAGAAGGAGAGCATGGAGAAGAACGGCGCAGAGGTCAAGACAAACTGCCTGAAGGTCAAGACGGCGTTAGGAGAGTTCATCGAGTTCGCTCACGGTGCTATCGCCAACTCCATGAAGGCTGCCGACCGTAGCCTACACAAGAAGCTGTCGCGGCATCTCATGCCTCTTCAGGATACTCACGACGCTCTCGTCAAGACGAGCAAGGCACTGGAGGCCAACGAGTGGTCGATGGACTGTATGGTCAAGAATCAAATCACGACGGTGCCGGACGACTTGGACCAGTTTGTGTCGGCGTCTCGCGGTGTGCCAGAAGACGTCAAGCAGCTTGCGTCCTTCATCCACGGGAATTCGCTCCTCTTGTTCAAACGCGGCAAGACGGTGGCAGAAATGGCGAAGAGTGCGCAACAGCAGCAGGGGTCGCCTCCCCTGTCTCCCGACGCAGACAAGCCGGCCCTCAAACCCAAGCCGGTGTGGCTGAAGAGGGATAGTACGGATGGGGAAACCTCCCCACCCATCGCAAACCCCAGCAGGGAAAGCTCAAAGAAAGAAGTCCAATCTCGCCCCCTCCCCGCGCCTCCCCAAGAGAAGAGCTCAGACAACGACTCCTGCATTGCGGACACTGAGCTAGAAGAAGAAAACCTGTACGAAAACGACAGCAAAGACTGGATGGAGGATTACGACTACGTCCACCTTCAGGAGAAGGAGGCGTTTGAAAGGCAGCAGCGTAAGCTACTGGAACAGCAGAGGGTGGAGAAGGAGAACATGGAGAAAGACCAAGTCCACCAGTTTGAGAAACTGGAGCAGGAGGTGTCCAGGCCGGTGGAGTCCCACATGAACAACTGGACGCCCCCTGCAAACCTGGGGCCCACGCACCTTTGCCGCACGGACAAAGAACTCCTCGTCTTCTATAGCCAACAGATGAACTCTCACGTGACAACGCTACTGAACGCCATCGACGCGTTCTTCACGTGCGTGGAGAGAAGCGAGTCGCCCAAGATTTTTGTTGCACACAGCAAGTTTGTCATCCTGGCAGCACACAAGCTGGTTTTCGTGGGAGACACTCTATTCCGTTCCATCGAACACAATGACATTCGCAATAAGATCATGCACTGCAGCAACTTGCTGTGCGACACACTGAAGATGGTGGTCGGCGCTACGAAAACGGCAGCGCTACAGTACCCGTCGGTCGCGGCCCTGCAGGATATGGTAGATCGCGTGACCGAGATTTCTCACGCGTCGCAACAATTGAACATTACAGTAGGCCAGGCAGCCACCTTATAACCTAACATGGCGTAAGCTTGTACAGTACTTACAAAAACAATGCTCTGTGAATGGGACATGTGTCCCAGTTATTCCCACAATGAAAATGGTATCTACTTACCAAGAATTTTTGTGAAGGGTAAAAACATGTACATAGGAGATCACGCTTAAACTTAAAAGTTGCATTGAACATTTTGTGCTCTATCTTTGTTTTTGTCAGAAAAGAAAATTTATTGAAAGAAATGTATGTTTTGTGCAAAGTACTACTTATGATAAAGGTTGATCATGCAAGTATAACAACTTTCTAATTTGGTAATAAGAAAAAGTAACTTAACTAATCTAGACTATTTTTGAGGAAGAAAAAGGTGTGAAAACAGAGTTTGTATTGGAAAAAATTCTGCCGGATTTGTGGTTGCATTTTGAGAGTTTGAGATGAGATGCAATATTTGAAAGTTTTTGGCAGTGCCTCGAGGGCAAAGCCATTTACAGAAACAGGAATATTTGAGAGTTAGGCATAGGGTAAGCCAAGATTGCAATGTGATCCTCAAACGATTAATGTTTGTATATCAAGTGTACATAAACCTAACGTGGTTATGTTGGAGCTTCTCTCTCATTTTGGTTTTGCTTCACTTCAAGTTTTGCACTTAAAGAAAAAAAAAAGCACAGAAGAACCACATGGTTTTTAGGTGTCTTGTCAGAATCACAGAAGTTTACTACGAGCCTTAACACTTGTACAGACGATCTCTAAAGCACTGTATGTCATCTGCTGAGAGAACTTGAATATAGAAACAGAATTCAGCCTCTTGTAGAATATCCCACAGAGTGGCTATCAATGTAATCCTGAGGGGTAGGGGGACAATTCTTCTGACATTCTCTGATACAGATGCAGCCTAAGAGATTCAAATGAAGAGATTCAGAATTTCTTAGTTAGTTAAACAACTATTTTACAAACATGATGCCCTAAATTAGTAGGCTGACATTGGTAGTTGCGAAGTGGGGTCGGTAGCCGTATAGAGTTTTCACAATATTGACTACAAGGACATTCTCTCCAGATGTATAGGACACCGCTAATCACAGAATAATAAACTGTTAATATGGAGTACTGTGTCTGTTGTCTGTCTTTTAACATGAAAGATTATCTATAGTATATCAGTTAGGGCTGTTCAGAAGAAAACCATCATTTATACAGGATAACAGTTTAAGAAGTAGATAGACATGAGTCAAGAAACATTTTTGCCTGACATGGAACTGCAACTTGCCATATTTTCAATGGATGATAACACAAGTAGGTGTTCCCTAGGGAAGACCAAGAAATCAGTCCAGAGTTACGTTTTCTTGTGTTGTAGTGGTGAAAGGTACTGAGTGGGATGGTTCACTATTAAAACAAGGTGGAGCCACAAATGGCAGTGCCACTGATGTTTCTGAGGAAGAATGTAGGTAATAACAGGTTAGGATTGGTGGTAGATATTTTGGTCCCTTCTTGAAAACTGGATACAGCCAGTGTGTGACCATGGAGGTAGAATTTTAACATAAGTTTTCAAGAAGGGACCAAAATGGCAGGAAAGCTAGTCAGGTCGGCATTTGGCTGTCGGAAACAATTTTTCGTCTCCATCGAGTTTTTCCAAGCAGATTCGGTGGGGCAACTTGCAAAGGGGAATTTATGTTAGCCGCCTGTATCCATTGGCCGCCTGTATCCAGTAGCCTCCTACTAGACGTGAACGTTGGATACAGGCGACCAACATAAAGTCCCCTTGCCCCATCAAATCTGCTTGGAGATTAGAGTTTGCTGACATTTACCATTGTTGTTTTCATGTGTCGTCTGTGACCTCACCCCTTGTTTGATGATTTAATCATTCCCGAGTACGAGATCCTCATCATCACTAGAGACGTTTTAACAGTAGGAAACTGCGAGCAGAGTCACAGAAAGTCGTCTGTTAGGTGCGTTAGGAGATTTTGCATCAGCAGTGATCAGCAGTCAGGTTGCCCGGTCAGGAAGTAAGGTAGCCAGGGAGGAGCAAGACCTGGTCCCGGGCGGTCTTCAACTTGACTTTGCGGCGGTTTCTCTTGTGGGAAAGGTAGGCCAGGTCGACCTACTAAGTAACCTAAGATCACCTAAGTATGCTGAAACAGTCAGTGGACACAGCAGCCCATCAGTCCACAACTTTCCGCATTAAAGTTGAAACAAGCAGGTTAGAAATTCATGTATGCTAATTGTGTATCCAAATTTTAGAAAATCCTAACCTATTTGGTTTGAATGAATACAGTATATCATATATTTTCCTGACAAAACTAGGCCATAGAATATCATCAGTGACAGATATTTATGTTTCCGTCGTTCAGCAGTCACATTCAATACGCAATTCCGTTTTACTTTGTTGAGATGCTAATAGACTCGATGTTGGCTAGTAAGATGATCCTTATTAGCCCCTCTTCACGGGTCGGCTAACATTCTGACCAAACATTCACGCCTGTTTCACCTTTTTTCAGGTCACCCATTTAGTCTGATCAAGGAGTTTGTAGTGCAGACCTCTGTCTTCCCGCCAACGGGGGATGGCATTCAAGTCCCTTACTTATGAAGAGTACGACATTCGCCCCATCTAGCGACAAAATATGTTATTGCAGTTATGCCAAGAGGTACACTATCTTGCATCACCCCTTTCTAATACATGTACTAGTATTTCTTTCTTCTTTTCCACCTGGCATGCTATTTCTTTCACATACATCATATTTATTCCATAGGATATGTCTGTAACTACCCTCTGCAAATCAGATATAAATGCGGGAATACACATAAGCAGAATACTAGTACTTCACTTGCAACACTTAATACATGTACTGTACATGTAGCTTTGTTTCTTCTAGGTTATGAGTATGAGTTATGAGTATCAAAATTTTGTATTTTGCAAGTATTTTGTATCTGTACAAATCCACCATCCGTCCTTGCATGGAGTATTGCTCGCATCTCTGGGCTGGTGCCCCAAAAGATTGCCTACATATTTTAGACCGCATTCAAGGGAGAATCTGTGTTGCCATCGGCCATTCTCTGGCCGCAAAGCTGGATTCCCTCTCACACAGACGCAATGTCGCTTCCCTATCCCTCTTCTACAGATACTTTCACGGTCGGTTCTTGCACTTCTTGTTCCGTCGCTCAGAACGTAACCTTTCAGCGTGCCACTAGGTTCTCTTCCAGTTCTCATCAATACACCGTCAACATACCTGTCTCCTGTCTCCAAGTCATTTTACAACAACAGCTTCTTTCCCCGGACTGCAAAATTATGGAACTCTCTTCCAAACAGCTGCTTTCCGTCCGATTACAATCCACAAAGCTTCAAAACAAAGGTCCACCGCCATCTCCTGACACAACTACATTATACACTCTTAAGTACCTCTAGCTCTATGCCTAGAAGTGGCCAAAAATAATGGCCTTGCATTGAGCGACACCGTTAAAAAAATGGTGTCGAAGAAAGCATTTCAGCTGGTCAATTTCTCCATAAACGTGAAAACGTGAATTTCTCTGTGATTGTATACCCGAACTTCAGGTACAGCCTTAGGGCATCCTGTTGAAACTGACTGGTCCTCAGGTGTATCCTCTCCACACCTTGAGTCCCGCAGTATTCCTCACAATGTTTCATCAGACGGGTGGCCACGCCTCTTCCTCGGAACCTGGGAAGGACGGTCATGCGTTTCAGTTTGGCTGCGTTGCCCGACGTCCTGTGTAGAGCAATGGTCCCGATGATCTTTCCTCGGAAAACCGCAACCCAGAACTTGCTTCCAGCCCTGCTTCCGTACCAAGTGTACAGATCTTGGAGTTCCAGACGTTCAAAGTGTCTCTTTATCCTAAACCTGGCATACAGGAGTGCCCACGTTGCGGGCAGACACGTTAATACCGCGAGGGTAACCGATGCAAGCCAGGAGCTAGTCACAGAGTAAAAGCTCACCACCAGAAAGCCTACCCAGAGCCAGCCAACGGGCATACGGAGAACTTTAAACACGGTGCGATGTGAAGCATTCTGTTGGCAGAGTCCGGACATGATCATGTCTCGAACTTCAGAAGCTTCTTCTTGTCGCAGCTCCCTTATATCTATGCTGAGGCCGTCACTCTTCATGTTTGTGGTCTGGGGCTGCTTCCGAATCATCACGAGTGCCTGTGACAGTTGTCAATCACACGACGAGGCCTCCCCCTTGGAAACCAACAGACAAGGTCAGTAGCTAGCCTCCACCAGCCCTTTCTACAGATCGTAGAATTCGGCAAAAAGGAGGGTACAATTGGCCAAGGGGTTAAGTCCGTGGAAGGTTGTTTCTTTCCCTCCGGCCAGTCAAACCCCAAGGCGGCCAAACTCCCCTGGCAAATATTCTCCTATATATAGCCGGCGTAGTCTAAGTTAGTCTGGTAGAGACTACGAAGTAGCCGTGGAGACTCTTGAATCGGGCGTATTTACTGGTATAGTCTTATACACATATATGGCTATATAGCCCTCGCGGAAGCTCTAGAGCAGTGGAATGATCCATTGACCGAACCAGTCATGTCTCTGAGTGGCTTGACAGCTGATATGATCCGTTGACGTTGTCGTTTCTGGGTGTCCCAACGTTCCGTGCAATGTTACCTCACCGCAACTTGGTCGGGTTGAGGATGCCCAGGTCCAGTATCTTGCTATCCACACAACCGGTCCGTCCTGTTGTTCTGTGTCATAACGCCTCCTATTGGTCTTGTAAAAACCGAAAGGGGCGAGCAGGTCACAACCGGGAATCGAACCCGAGTTGTCCGCTTGGCGGTCACCAACGCTAACCATTACACTAAAAGGTCGCACGACCATTTAGCATGGTCAGTTAGCATTGTTACACTACTCCCCCTTTTCTTTCAAGATTCGTCCTCGAATCTTCCGAGTCCGACATCCCTGGAGCTGCCACACTTATCCTCAGTGCCAGTACTCACAGGGCCCACGTTGGGCGCCACTGTAAAAACCGAAAGG